GATTTTCTACCTAAGCTTAAGTGTTAGCTCTAAACCATTTTGAAAAATACTGCTAGATTTGGTTCTATATAATAAGGCGTGAAAAACTAGGAATGCATTGAATAAATGAGACTTAAAAGTTATTTCCAGTTAGTTGTTATGAATGATTAGAAAGTGACTTCCAGTTTTAAATATAAATAAAATTTCAAGATAAAGTTATTTCAGATAATTGGCTATCAGGAAACCGAAGCTGAGGCAATAAAACTCTTACCCCTTTTCTCCTCATGCGACAAAAAACTGGGATAAGCTTTGGTATAGTGAAGAGTCACTAGCTTCCTAATTTTTAACCCTCGCAGACTTGAACACATTTTTCTTTTTTATTCAAATGTATCAAAACCCGTAATCACCAAAATTGCAAAAACTTATTCCTATATAAACTCGCTAGAAGATTTTTGATCACATAAACCCTTGAACCTTTTAAGATTGCAATAAATCTCGCTACAAGAGGCCCCTTAGGCGAGTATGTTTTGAAGGGAGAAGCAATTCAGGATAATTACACAATTGAATTATGTGACAGTGGTCACGGTGTATTTCAGTGTGTGCTGTTATCGCCGGTTACACCAAATAGAATCCTGTAGTTTGGTTTTGAAATGTTCATACAGGTTTTTACTAGGGTAAGCTGTCAGTACTCAAATATGAAATAACAGAAGCCAAATTATTTAAAAGGGGTTTGCGAGCGCCAATCAAATTATGATATTCGATACGTTGTTGTTGACGTCTTTCGTCACGAGATAATAAAATTTGTCAAAATTTTGGCCTTTTAAAATGTTTAAGGTATTAATCGGTGTGGTCTTAAAGCTCTTTCCACTATATTCTCTACTTTATTTTCTTCTTATAATGGTCAAAAACTAAGATTTATTCAGCTACTCACATAGAACGGTCGGAGTTTGCTCAATGAACTAATTTGCATAATCGGCTGTCACAATATCGCTAAAAGTTCGAAGTCACCTCGGCGAAGAAAATCAATAAGTGCAAGATGTTTTTATATTTTTCTGCAGCCAAACATCTTATTAGCAGAAATCAAGCGGAGTTTTTAATGGTCTGGTGGGGACTTGAGCAATATCAACCAAGAAAGAAAGAGTTCTTTTAACCAATTTCAGAAAGCTGTCCAACGAGTGTTTTCAAATAAATTATGACGAGCCTCTGAATGAACGAATATCAGAATTGAAAAGCATTTTATACACCTTATATATCACACACTTTAAGAATACAAAACATTTTTTTTGTAGGAATTTCATCGTTCAAGTTCGCACAATTTATGTGGTCTCTCTATGCACTGATAACTCTTGAACACCATACTCGGAAATACACACACAAGAATGAAACTACATCAATACCATTTCAACTTCAACAGAATGAAGGCCAAACATCAAATCATAGGTAATACCATACAATCATAGAAACCTCTTTTAATTTGGCTTATTTCTATAAAATATTGTTTTTATGAAAAATGTTTGCGATCAATATGAAAGAAAATACGTCATGGATGGTGCATCTCGAAAAATAAAGTGACGCAAATCTCTTCAAATTTGAAATACCTGTTGATCTTCCCTGTTCTCGAGCATTCTCGTTCTGTGCGATTCATTATTAACTCTGATCTTTGCTTTCCATGGTAAATTATACATGATTTAACTTCTTTGTTCTATTCATATTCAATTAGTTTTATGTATCGTGACTTAGTTAATTAATTGTGGTGAGGATCGACCTGTATTCATTCTTCCGTTTCACGTCTGTTTACGCAATATTCTCTCCACTGTTTTTGTCACTGCTTTGCGTAACGTGCCAATTCTCCAACAGTACAAAACCGGGTTAATTGACGAATTCATGAAAACTGCAGTTGTTGCGAAACCCCAAGCACTATTCCAGTTATCAGTTACGAGATACAAGATCATAGCGATGGACATTGGCATATAAAACACAACCATAACAATAAAGAACACAAACGAATTTAGCGTTTAGATCCCAATGTAGGCGATAATTGATATCAATAAAAAAAATGCCCACGCCGAGAGCTACGAGGAAGAAATAAACAAAAGGATTTAAATAGTAAATTCCCGAAAGAAGTAATATCAATAACCAAATTATCACTATCGAGTAAACTGTTCGAGATTTCGTCACAAGAGATGGATAACGCATATGGTAGTGAAGAGCCAAAAATCGGTCGACAATGATGGCTGTTATGGTGCAAAGAGAAATCCCACATGCGGCAAATGACACCGTGAACCACAAACTACCCAGAAGTTTATTTCTTGTAAGTACAGAGGCTATATAAAGTGGTTGAATCAGTGTGCCAACAAAGAGATCCGAAACTGCCAGGCTACAGAGAAGCAGAATAGACGATGAACGAATTGATGGTGTTTTAAAAATGGCAGCGAGCACCACAGCGTTGCCAAATATAGAGAAAATCATCAATGGAACATTTAAAGCACAATTAATGATGACGGTAATTTCCGGTTGAGAGGAGTTTTTCGCGACTTGTGAACCATAAAATCCTGAGCTCCCGGGCATGTTTAAGTCTTGAAGATGTTCTATTTCAGACCTTCCTGTGCTCCAGAGACAAGCAGCTGGCGCTTATCTCTCAACTTTCGAACTCAGTTGAAGTGTGATTTTGTAATATCAGTATGTCAAGTTTTATGACATTTGATATCTATGTATGGTAATGACAAAAAAAAAAAGCCAAATTAAGTAAAAGAGCAATATGCGCTTCGATAGCTAACTTACATATCAATGTTATGTTTATTTGAATATCATTTTTCTTTTGATAGCATGAAAATCTAAGATTCCGTTTAAAAAAATTTCAATTTTATTTAAAATGCATTTTTACACCTGGTTTCATTTCATGAAGATTGCTTATAAATGTCAACAATTTCCTGGCGTAATTATTACAGGGGAGACAAACATCTGACAGAAACGGTAAGATACCAATCCAAAAGTAAGATATGCTATATGTTTTTATTACTGTTTGTTCAAGTCTATCATGAACGGAAATTTTGCAAGAAAATTTTGGTACCTGCTTGAATCCATCAAAAGAACAGAAATAATCAGAAAGTAAAGTCTGTTCATGTAAATCAGTATTACTTTCAAAAGAGAACAAATTTTTGGTAAAATTGAAACGGAAATAGAGCCCTTAGATGATATCATAAAAGTGACAACCGAATCACTCTCGAAACCAGAGTTACTCATCACTGCGCATGTCAGAAAGAGACAAGCCTTTCGGATCATGCGAAGCAAGACAAACCAAATTCATGGGAAAATAAATACAAAGTTATTTTAAAATTTGAAGGGCACCATTTCTAGTCGCTTCCAATTTTGTTAAGTGGCGTTAAGTAAAAAAAAAGGCTTAATAACAGTCTCATTGAACAATCAAATTCTGAATGTCTTTATCTTCGAAAAAAAAAACATTGAATGACATCTCAGCAGACATACTCATCCAAAGAAAAATTTTGACTAAAATTATGTAGAAATCGAGTAATTTACACGAAATTTGCTTATATAGTTTCGAAGAATTTATTAGCCTTCCCGGAAGATTCTTATTCCAAATTACGTTTTTTTAAAAAAAACGTAATTTGGACAGGCCTCGCTGTGTCTCCGTGTATACGATACAACAATATACGCAGGTTTCTCTATGATGTTACACGATAAGATGGACATCTTAGACAGGCTCACAAGATATTGTGGTCTTTTGGTAAAGATGATTAAAAGAAGACCCAAATTCTACCCACAACTCGTCGATGCTCAGGATCTGAAAACTTGATTCGAAATTCAGTTCCTGTTAAACCACATTGATCATTGCATAATGATGATGCAGTTTTACTTTCAAAGCCATACAAAAGGAAGTAGTGATATTGAATTCGAAAGGCATATTTGTCTTTTGTCAACTTTTCGCTTTTAACCATATCTTTATCCAATCATCATTTCGGAGAATTATTTCAATTAGTTAAAGTCTGAAAGGTTTTTTTTTTCTGACGGATAAATCTGCGAACGAAGGTACAGCACCTGTTCAACTGCGTTTTCTATCTTCTATTTTACTTTAGAGTTTTTGCTTCTTTGCATCATGTCTTTTATTTTTCCTCTAAGGCCTTGGGTAAATTTTTGATGTTTCTAACATGAAAGTTTATGTTCGCATTTGTGATATTAAACACTTAACACATTAAGACGCAGGTGGCGAAGCTTGAATTTGTGAACGACCAAGATATATTGCAAATTTACCCTTGTAAAGGAAACGCATTTTCCTTCTCTCCTTCGATTTTCTCAAGCTGTTACACGGTGGCCTTACTTAAATTTTATACAGATGAAAATGACGTTTTAGCCCAATTTTCACAAGTAAGGTACTTTAACAATATTCACTATTCACTTTTGTTATGCTAAAAACTTTAATGGCAGTAGCATGGAGTTAGATGTAAAATACAAAATAGGGGTTTACTAATTACGAAAATATCATCATTGAACACCGTATCTCATGGAAAAAAACGCAAGGGACGTTTGCTTGATTAAGATTGAGAATGAGATTGCCATTCGCGTCTTGCGTATAATTGTTTTGCAAATGGAAACCCACAAATCCAAAAATTTGTAAGTTTTGTTGTGTGAATATTTTGAATTGGAAAGAGCGAACACACAAAAAAAGCCGACAAATTAAAGGCAAAAATTATCATCTTTTCATTCTCCATTCCCACGTTAATGTAAAGGAAACCCCATTCAGGAAAGGAAGTCGTTACAGATATTAAGACTTTTCATTGAGGTACGGGTGCCTTTGATCATCCTATTCATAAGTTAATGAGTATTTTGCTCATTACAAATTTATGAACTTAACTTCTAAAAGGCGACTTAATTGAAAATGACAAATTTACCGACCAACTTCTATTCAGTGAGGCACCTTGTCTATTTTTCGGTGGTAGTTTAAGCTCTCGAGGAAGCCAGATGGTCAATGTTTCCGCTAAAAGACTAAAGCAGCGTCGTCGAAGATGTACAACGGAAACTTGAGTACCACTGGGAATTCAGCTGATATCAGAGTCAAATTCCAAGCAAATGCATCATCATATGGAAATATTGTAGCCATAAACTGCATTATAAACGGGATCATGATGCTTGTCTCCATTCTAGGGAACTGTTTGGTCTCCATCGCCATATGGAAGACATCATCACTTCGGTCTCCTTCCACAATGTTTCTTTTTAGTTTGGCTATTTCTGATCTTCTGGTCGGTTTAATAGTTCAGCCAGTTTACATCGCCAAATCTCTAATAGATGTGTATTTCCTTCAAATTCTTACAGCCCTGATGGCGTTTGCTGCATGTGGGGTATCGCTCGGCACAATGGCCGCCATTAGCCTTGATCGATTCTTGGCCCTCCATTATCACTTACGATACAACGCATTGATGACGTCGTTTCGTGCTACATCTGCGTTATTGACCATATGGATTACAACTTTTCTTCTATCGTGTTTGATATTTTGGGACTCTTCAATCTACATTGCCGTTTTGACCATTTTAATCAGTGCGTATCTGATAACCTCGGCTAATTTTTACGTTAGAATTTATCAGATTGTTCTTAAGCATCGTTCACAGATTCAACATCGAGAACCTGGTAATCAACAGCTTTCAGTCGGGCAACTCTCTAGTCAGAAAAAGTTGATCGGAAGCGCTCTGAGCACGTTTGTATTTTATATCTGTACTGTTACTTGTTATCTACCAAGGTTTATCTCATTAACACTTACAGATACCAACACATACAAGAAGACAGCTTGGATCTTGGCGGATACCCTGATATTTTTGAACTCAGCTATAAATCCTCTTTTGTATTGTTGGCGTCTACCTGATCTCCGTGCTGCAGTTGTTAAAGTATGGAGGGAATTTTTCGGCATGCAAGATTAAGGGAAAGACACTCATAACATTTCTGCTTTGGATGCATTCACAAAATATTCTTCGTTTTGACTAGTTCAGTCTTCATATTTTATAACAAACAATAGAAATTTTCCATCCCTAAATAATGCAACATAGACTAGGAAGCAAGGGGAGGGTTTGGCAAGGAGGATATAACCCCTTAAAACAAATGTGTGGGGCAAAACCTCTGAGTTTAAGTGCAAAAAATACCACTCAAGCATTTTCTTGCCTCAGTGGCATTCTGTATAATTTTGAAATTTATGGTTCCACTGGGATTTTTGGCTCGTACTAACAGTTTGTAAAATGTCGGAATTCTTGTAAAAACAGAATTAGACAAAAATAAAACAATAAAAGTAACATTGTTCATTGATTTGGGCAACTAATCCTTCTATGATGTATCGATGAAATGTTACTCTCACCTGTAATTTTGTCAAATAATAAGGTTGAACGTGTTTAATAATAAGAATAGCCACTCTTCCGCCACATAATGGAAAAATTGCGCAATAGTACCCAGTGGTCATTGGACCCTCAACACCATGACAACTAACTGTGATCCAATGAGGTGTTCACATGCTGATCACGCGTGTTATCTTGATGATGACTGACGTTGTCATGCACGGACAGGGTCGGGTCACATGATGAACCACGAGATTTTTGCTTATAAAACTCTTTAGTCATTCGTTTTGTATTTCAACGTGTTTGGATTACGATCACCTGGAGCATTATGGCGCAAACTCTCAAAATACTCACACTCAGGTTAATTAAAGCCTGGGTCAAAAATGATTTTCGCCTCCAGTGCCGCCCCAGCAAGGTTCGCGGAATTCACGTGGACTGCGCGAGTAACCATAGTTACTTGGAATCAAGATCGCGTAGTTCGTGAACGGCATCCGCCATTTTGAAGTGTCGGCTTTGCATTGGTTTTTCCCATCTTCGATGGTGAATCCGACAATTTAGAGGAAGACATCAAAAGAAGGTAATAACATTTTCTTTGCTATCTTCATTTCCTCAAAAAATGGCATGATATCGCTATCTTAAAGCCAAAGAGAACCATTTTGAACCTACGAAGACTTCTAAACACCGCTCTTAACATGTTCATCGACTTCACTGCAAATACAATGCAACATGAATTTATAATATAGCGCTCATTTCTAGAGCTCAATAGCGTTTTACAATGTTTGTAACTTATGCATAGAAAAAAGTACTATTTTTTGTAACAAATGCATAGAAAAAAGTTTCATTGTGGATATACCATTCAATTTTGAAATTAAATTTAGCTTGATAAATCCTTTATCATATCATGATGTGTATACTTATGGTGTCTATCAAAATTTAGGCTTTTGAATGCTTTGGAAACAATTTCTCCAAGAAACAGATGAATTTACTTACAAAAGTAATCCCCCAAAGCAGTTGTTAGGTAAGTTTAATTGCTCCTGAACGCTCGCGTGTCAAAATGGCGGACATTAAGTTGAATACGTGACTGCGAGTTTTCAAAATTCCCACCTCTTAAACAGTTTTAATTTGTCTTTTTTCCAAATAAATAGGAACCTGTAGGATTACTTTCATTGACAGCGGTTGGAACCAGGTAAAGGCTAAGATGTTTTCGGGCGAAAACCATGATAGAGGAAGCAGCTTCGCAGAGACAAAACTTGATTTAATCTGCCTGGCACATCTCTCTTTTTTTGGCAGCCATTCCAAGTGGGAAAACAATGAAAAACGTCTCAAATATTCATAGCGATAACTGCATTTTGATTTGCCTTGTGTTTAGTGGTGGGAATTTGCTCAAGAAAGCAGCCGACGAATTTGGCGCCTAAATTAACTGTTTTTGGCTGTTGAGAGTATCATATTACGTTGCCACAATTCAGTCCGAGAGAGATGGTAGTGATACACATTTATGCCAAGTATGAGAAAAATCCCTCGCAAAATGGCTAAGTTATTCTCAATTTTGTGAAAAATATGGGTTAAAGGCAGGGTGACCCAGGCCTTAATTAACCTGAGCAGACGCATACACAAGTCGTATTGTTCGCGGTTAATCCACACTAAAATATGTTGTTGAGCGGTAGTTTTGAAACGGATTGAGTCGCGATCGCTTGAAAGCTATGAAAGCCTTGAATGCCAGGTATGTCTTGTATGCCTTGTATGCCTTGTATGTCTTGTATGCCTTGTATGCCTTGTATGCCTTGTATGCCTTGTATGCCTTGTATGCCTTGTATGCCTTGTATGCCTTGTATGCCTTGTATGCCTTGTATGCCTTGTATGCCTTGTATGCCTTGTATGCCTTGTATGCCTTGTATGCCTTGTATGCCTTGTATGCCTTGTATGCCTTGTATGCCTTGTATGCCTTGTATGCCTTGTATGCCTTGTATGCCTTGTATGCCTTGTATGCCTTGTATGCCTTGTATGCCTTGTATGCCTTGTATGCCTTGTATGCCTTGTATGCCTTGTATGCCTTGTATGCCTTGTATGCCTTGTATGCCTTGTATGCCTTGTATGCCTTGTATGCCTTGTATGCCTTGTATGCCTTGTATGCCTTGTATGCCTTGTATGCCTTGTATGCCTTGTATGCCTTGTATGCCTTTTATGCCTTGTATGCCATGTATGCCTGGTATGCCTTGTACGCCTTGCATGTCTTGTACGCCTTGTATGCCTTGTACGCCTCGTACGCCTTGTACGCCTCGTACGCCTCGTACGCCTTGTATGCCTTGTATGCCTTGTATGCCTTGTATGCCTTGTATGCCTTGTGTGCCTTGTATGCCTTGTGTGCCTTGTATGCCTTGTATGCCTTGTATGCCTTGTATGCCTTGTAGGCCTTGTATGCCTCGTAGGCATTCCTCATTCCTCATTCTCCATTCTCCATTCCTCATCCCTCATTTCTCATTCCTCATTCTTCATTCACCATCCTCATTCCCCATTCCTTATTCCTCATTCCTTATTCTCCATTCTTCATTCTCCATTCCCCATTCCCCATTCCGCATTCCTCATTCCTCATTCCTCATTCTCATTTTCCATTTCTCATTCCTCATTCCTCATTCCTCATTCCTCATTCCTCATTCCTCATTCCTCATTCCTCATTCCTCTTTCCTCTTTCCCCATTCCCCATTCCCCATTCCCCATTCCCCATTCCCCATTCCCCATTCCCCATTCCCCATTCCCCATTCCCCATTCCCCATTCCCCATTCCCCATTCCCCATTCCCCATTCCCCATTCCCCATTCCCCATTCCCCATTCCCCATTCCCCATTCCCCATTCCCCATTCCCCATTCCCCATTCCCCATTCCCCATTCCCCATTCCCCATTCCCCATTCCCCATTCCCCATTCCCCATTCCCCATTCCCCATTCCCCATTCCCCATTCCCCATTCCCCATTCCCCATTCCCCATTCCCCATTCCCCATTCCCCATTCCCCATTCCCCATTCCCCATTCCCCATTCCCCATTCCCCATTCCCCATTCCCCATTCCCCATTCCCCATTCCCCATTCCCCATTCCCCATTCCCCATTCCCCATTCCCCATTCCCCATTCCCCATTCCCCATTCCCCATTCCCCATTCCCCATTCCCCATTCCCCATTCCCCATTCCCCATTCCCCATTCCCCATTCCCCATTCCCCATTCCCCATTCCCCATTCCCCATTCCCCATTCCCCATTCCCCATTCCCCATTCCCCATTCCCCATTCCCCATTCCCCATTCCCCATTCCCCATTCCCCATTCCCCATTCCCCATTCCCCATTCCCCATTCCCCATTCCCCATTCCCCATTCCCCATTCCCCATTCCCCATTCCCCATTCCCCATTCCCCATTCCCCATTCCCCATTCCCCATTCCCCATTCCCCATTCCCCATTCCCCATTCCCCATTCCCCATTCCCCATTCCCCATTCCCCATTCCCCATTCCCCATTCCCCATTCCCCATTCCCCATTCCCCATTCCCCATTCCCCATTCCCCATTCCCCATTCCCCATTCCCCATTCCCCATTCCCCATTCCCCATTCCCCATTCCCCATTCCCCATTCCCCATTCCCCATTCCCCATTCCCCATTCCCCATTCCCCATTCCCCATTCCCCATTCCCCATTCCCCATTCCCCATTCCCCATTCCCCATTCCCCATTCCCCATTCCCCATTCCCCATTCCCCATTCCCCATTCCCCATTCCCCATTCCCCATTCCCCATTCCCCATTCCCCATTCCCCATTCCCCATTCCCCATTCCCCATTCCCCATTCCCCATTCCCCATTCCCCATTCCCCATTCCCCATTCCCCATTCCCCATTCCCCATTCCCCATTCCCCATTCCCCATTCCCCATTCCCCATTCCCCATTCCCCATTCCCCATTCCCCATTCCCCATTCCCCATTCCCCATTCCCCATTCCCCATTCCCCATTCCCCATTCCCCATTCCCCATTCCCCATTCCCCATTCCCCATTCCCCATTCCCCATTCCCCATTCCCCATTCCCCATTCCCCATTCCTCATTCCTCATTCCTCATTCCTCATTCCTCATTCCTCATTCCTCATTCCTCATTCCTCATTCCTCATTCCTCATTCCTCATTCCTCATTCCTCATTCTACTTTCCTTATTTTAAAGATAGCCTTGTCTGGAAGAACTCTCAGCGATAATATCCGCAAGACTTACAATTTTACTTGGAGACAAAAACCTTTTGACTCGAAGTTAGCCCAGGTCTTTCAAGTTCCGTCAGTTTCAAGCTTTTTTAAGAAAATATATCTTTAATTAAGCTTTAATTCAAGAACGATTTATGACTGCAAAATTTCACATGTATAAGTAGTCAAGAAGCGCAAGAGGTAAGGTGACAACCGTTTTTAAAAATGGTCATCTACTGGGTAATTACGTCATAATTAGAGGTGGTTACTGATTTTCTAACTAAACTTAAGTGTTAGCTCTAAACCATTTTGAAAAATACTGCTAGATTTGATTCTATATAATAAGGCGTGAAAAACTAGGAATGCATTGAATAAATGAGACTTAAAAGTTATTTC